GGCGGCCGGGTCGGGTGGGGGCTCCGCCGAGTTGCGGTGTCGTTCCTCGCTGCTCACTGCATCCCTGCTGTGCTTCTGTTCCCGTGATGCGCTTGAGGAAGGGCAGCGTTTAGTGGCGAAAGGCCGCTTGTGCCCGGTGCACGTAGCCTCGCCGGAGCTGGCCTTGGAATCGTCTCTAACTTGGCTTCCTGGTGCCAGCGTGTCGCGTGTACGCGAGCCCGGTGGTGTGGGGTAGTGCGCGTTGCTTCCCTTTGGAGACGGCTTTGAGTACAGGATCGTTATCCTGGCTTTGTGCCTCAATCATTATAAACTTTCAGTAACAGTGAAAACGTCCAAGTGAGGTGTGAGCTGCTAAAGGTAGTTTCGTATGTGAGAGGACAGGTACTTGCTGCAGGAGAAATGATGTTCAGCCAGGCTATCACGGCAGGGAGAACTAAGGGTAAGGACAGGAGGCCACATGAGCATGTGGCTGCAGACCTAGAGCGCTGCTTGCTGGTCGCGTGTGGAGCTCCTCCTGCTGTGTAACAGTGCTGCGTAGAAAGTTCCCACATGGCTTCCGTAAGTTATTTTTATTTAGAGCTAAGCATGTCAGTATAAAATTTTAATGCACAATAAGAAAAGAATGCAGGGAGGGGAAAAAAAAAAAAAACAAAACCCAAACAGATTTGCTGTGGTCTTTGGTTGATGTGTTAAACCTCAGTAACCTGCAATGAAGGTGCAACTTTGGGTAGATAATAGTGTAAAGTTATTATCTACACATAAAGTGTATGTACTCGTACAGAATGATGAATAAGGATCTTTTAAAAATTCAGTTGTTTTCCTCAGTGGCAGTTCCTGAGGAACGGTTTGTCATATGGAAATGATTTGGGGAATCTTGAATAAAAATTCAGAGACTACTTAAAAAAAAAAATTACACCAGAGCCTTGTTTTGTTGTTCACACTGCATGTAAGCAGATGTTGTCTTTTTGTTGCCTCTTAGGTTTTTACCACCTTCTCTGTAGCTAAAAGAGATGTTAGTTGCATTAAACAAAAATGGTGTGTGTTGGTTATAGAGCTTAAATGGCTAGTTGGATGTTAAAATTCAGACCAAAGCCATTTCAGTTCTGTTCTGCAGCTGCTGCTGTCATTCCTATTTGTTGTGCTAATGAGTAAGTATTCCTTCAAGTTCACAGCTCAAGAGGTAGTCAGCTACCTTTGAAGAGATTTATTTGTCCCATGTTTTAACGTGTCTCTTCAGGTTTTTTTTCTGGCTGCTTCTTTCCCCTTTCCTGCAGGCAATTTGGGTTAACACTTCAAACAGAAGGTGGTGAAATCTCTTAAACAGAAAGACTAATAGACTTCAGTTTTAGTAAATCTTTAGAAATAAAGATGTTTCCATAAAAATCCATGAAGTTGTTATTTTTGTCTTTGTGGGATGAAGGTGAGCATTTGTTATTAGATGGCTAAGTATGGCACAGGTATCCTTGTGCCTATAATCCACATACGCTTGGCATAACTCCCTGGTGACCTAGTCACATGGTGGCAGTTCTGCACTGTAGTTTGTGCAGCTTCAGAAAAACATCTGTGGATTACTTTTTCATTTTAGCAGTTCTGCACTGTTGATCAGGATACTTGGTAACCAGCTGGGAAAAGCATTCAAGGCCTTGAATGATAGGGGAAGCGTTTGTGAAACAATGTCTCTAAAGTTGCCAATGGCATAAGGTACCGGTGCTACAAGTTGCACAATCTCCATTTGCAGTAGAATGCTGAGTCTTTCCATAGTGTAGTGACCATTAATCGAAATAGCCAGATGTGCTGTACTGGTTTTTAAGTTTGCAAAACTACTGTTGCAATAGGGCACATTTTCCTTACCCAGTTGAAAGCAGTGAGTAAACATCTTGCACAGCCAGCAGTGGCAGGTATATGATTTCTCTTGGCAACTGGAAAGGGAACTGAAGTTACTTGCCAAATTTTCAGAATTACCTTTAAATAACAACAAAACTAAAAACCCCTTCTTATATTAATGAAGAATACCTTCCAGTTGTTAAATAACTGATTTTATTTTTTTTTCTCCCTATCATCCTCCCAAGTCTCTAAATAATATGTTCATGTGCTGCTGCTGTATTGAACGCTTGTTTGAACTGCAACATCCCAGAGATAAGACTGATCACACTCACTGGAGCTCTGTCATTGTCAGTAAATCTGAGAAAGTTGTGTCCTTCACATTTTGTTGCTGTTTAGGGGAGTAAACATTGATAGAGTTTACAAGTTTATGGATGAAGGGGAAAAGAAAAAGTCCTTTTCTCAGCACTTGTCACTTCTAGTGTGTACGGTCTTTTGTCATATTGCCTCTTCATTCCAAAATTCAGCAGAATTAAAGGTGGTAATGAGAGGTGGAAAGTTCAATTTGCCTTTTTTTCCCCTTAAACTAGTTATTCACTGTATTTTATTTTTTTTTTAAGCCTATTGAAAAAAATGTTGGATGAAAAAAGCCCCACCATGCACCAAGCCTGGCTTTTATAAAGATTATTACAGAACCTACAGCTGCTGACTGATGCAAATTAAATACTGCATCACATGTAGTTTTAATAGTGTTAGTCCCTTGATGCTCCCCATAGTAGACATGTTAATGAGAACTTAATTGAGGTGTTTTTATCTTCATCCAGTACAAGTTATCTTATTCATATGCAATCGTGTTGCAGTTTTATCATGTTTCATATAATAATGTAGTGAACTGTGGTTTTTCAGTTTGTAAACAACGGACAATTACCAGTTGGTTGGAGAATAAAGGACCCAAGACAACTGAGTCCAAAAGGTAAAATGAACAGCATACCTACGCAAAAGTTGTGTTCTTTGAGTGGGCCTGTGGGGAACTCAAATTGCAGGTTGTTAGTACAGCTAGCTACTGAAGAAAAAGGCAACCCCATTTCTGCTGCTTTCCTTACCTTGGTACATGCTCTTGAATATAAATAACTGACAGAGTTTCTCTATGAAGAACTACTAATCACCCATCCTGCTCTTCTAACCCCCAAAACGTTATTGTTGACTTAGGTTCCCAAAGCACCTCACTGCTTAGGTGAATAAATACTACTGCTCCTGCAGAGAAAAAGATTTGAACCTGCAGCAAGGGAAAGCAACTGCTGCATCCCATGACAGTCAACCAGTTAGCTGCAATATCATACTATGTCCTTTAGTCTACAGTTCTGCTTTTATTTTTGTTTAATGTAGGACAATAACAGTTACAGATTTTGGCTGATGGTCCTGCATTCAACTCACAGTTCTGTTGTTAATTTACAGACAAGATTCTGTTTTGGTTTATCTCATTGGACTGTGATTGTAGTATAAGAATGTGCAGCTTGACTTAGTTTGAACCGTAATTTACAGGTGCTCAAATGTGCCTTCAGGTTATTTGTGAAAGATGTTATAAAAGTTTTGCTGTTGAACAGCTTCAGGTCAAGTTTGGTATCTTCCGCTCATGTAGTCTATCAGGAACAATATTTGCAAGGTAGCATTAAAGTTAAACTCCTAGGAGTTCAACTGTCTGGTGCAGAGGAGTAACATATTTTTCTGTAACTACAATTGTAAATGTACTGGTTTATTTTTCACTGATGTTTGTTAATAAATAGAAATTGAAATCCATAGCAGTGCTAAAATAGCTGAGAAAACTTGTGATAATTATTAATACAGAAGTACACAGGGCTCAAGTACAGGCTTACAGGTGTAGAAAAGCAAAGATATTAAGAGGATGCTTAAGGAAGGAATGTTTCATTTTATTTTCTTAAGATGCGCTGTAGTGTATTGCTTTTATGTACCCTCCTCAGCCTCGCTGACAGATTACAACCTAGTCAATTTTAAGTAGCAGGTTAGTCATGTAAACATTTCATGTGCCTTTTTATTGCAGTTAACATCACAATTTTAACTTATCATAGCCATAGATTGGCTTCAGTTGGAAGGGACCTTAAAGATCATCTAGTTCCAAACCCCCTGCCATGGGCCGGGGCACCTTCCCACTAGACCAGGCTGCTTAAAGATGCCATACAACCTGGTCTCAAACACTTCCAAGGATGGAGCATCCACAGCTTCTCTGGGCAACCTGTCCCAGTGCCTCACCACTCTCAGGGAAGAATTCCTTCCTACTATCTAATCTAAATCTACCCTCTTCTAATTTAAAGCCAATTCCCACTGTGCTGTCACTGCAAGCCCTTGTAAAAAGTCCCTCTTTAACTTTCTTTTAGGCCCCTGTCAGGCAGTTGAAAGCTGCTCTGAAATCTTCCCAGAGCCTTCTCTTCTCCAGGCTCAACAACACCAACTCTCTCAGCCTGTCTCTCAGTAGAAGAGGTGCTTCTGGCCCTCTGAACATCTCTGTGGCCCTCCTCTGGACTCACTCCAACTGGCCCATGCCCCTGTTGTGTTAGACACCCCAGACCTGGATGCAATACTCCAGGTGGTGTCTCATGAGAGTGGAGTAAAGGTGGAAAATCACCTCCCTTGACCTGGTGGTCACAATTCATTTGAATTTGAACACTGTCTTTGTTAGATTTGATCACTTGCGGAGATGGCAGCAGTAGCATAACTTTCATTTTTGTTCATCAAAATTTTCAGTGCGGTAACATATGCCTACATGGGGAGTTAAATTATCATAACATAAACGCCTCTAAAACTGTTTTAAATAATCTTCCTACGGATGAAGTTCCAAGTTATTGTCTGCTGCTCCAGCCCTTTTATTGTTTGTTTTCTTTTTGGTCTATAGTGGTAAAATTGTGAATGCTATCTTTATACAGAGCACTCTTTGAGAATCTGTTATCATTCAAGGAGGCAATTAGTGCCTTCAGGAATCTATGAAGATGTTCAGTTGCTGAATTTAGGATTGTGTAGTAATTGCATATTTTCCTGTTTAGTGGAGATGAGAATCTGGGCAATGACCAGATAATCCAGAGTTTAGCATGCTTAGCTTGCGCTGGTGATATAAAATCTTGTCATAACATATTCAGGAGAAGGTATTGACAGAGTGATATGTACACCAAGACTAGCCAGGTTTTTTTTAATATTCATACAGCATCTAAGTATTTTTATCAATACACTGACGCAGAAGTTAGCACATGTGACATGACTTTCTAATGTTCTCTTGAAAAGTGTTGTCTGCTCATACAAAACTCGCTTCATTTCCGTGTGTAACCATTAGGACACATTTCTTTCCACTCTCTGTGTAAGATGGCGCAGGGCAAACTAGCTTATTTTTCTTAAAAAAAATAATAATTAATGTCTTTTAATTTTTATAATAATTTCTAAATATATTTCACTCTTACGCTTTTGTATTGTGAATATTTTTGAAGTCATGGGCTGTTTATTAAAGTAAGGAAGTAATAGGATGGTTTTGAGGCTATGGACTACAGTGTCCTGCTCTTCTAGATGATGACTTTGTAGCTCTGAGGGAATGGCTACAAAACCATTGATTTCCTTGCTCACTGTATTTAACTGATTAAAATGAAAGCTAAGGAGTACTTTATCATGACTTCTAATTTTTTTTCCAGAGAAAATAACTAAATAATAGCTTAATACTGTTTAGATTTTAAAATAAGGATAATGAATCACTGGAACAGATCTCAAAGGTAAGCAACTGATTAATCGTCCTTTGGAGCTTTTAAATGGAAATAGGTTGTTACTGAGCTGCATTCCCCAGTGAAGTAAAACTTGTTGATCCTAGTTGTGCTTGCATAATATAATGAGTAAAATTATATAGTTTTTATTATATGTTTATAATAATTCCTTTAAAATACATGTATATGTACAGAAATTCCATTTGGAGAGACGACATTTAATTCCCTTACTTATCTTTCACAGATTACACAGCAAAATTAGTAACAATACTGAAGCAAATTCCAAGATGACTTCCATTAAAAAAGAGAACTTTTGTGACCATGATGTGAGAAAGCTAGAGAATATTTGTCAGCAAAATTATTCAAAGCTATCTGTGGAAGTTGGTGCAAAGCATGTCAATTTGCCTCAGACAGGCAGCATGTATAACTGGGAGGCTGAGGACAAAGATCCAGTCTTGGACACAGAGCCTGTGAAGGGGATGCAGTCTGGAGACCTCTTTAAAAATGCCAACATTGATCAGATGCACAAAACTGGCAAGCAGGCTCAGAGAGGCTGTGAGGAGAGCAGTGATAATTGTACTCAGAGGAAATCATCATCTGGCCAGTCTTTGAAAATGGGAAATACAAAACTTTCTTCAAAAGACATTGAGACAGATGGACAAGTGGCTTCATGCAATTCACAGAAGCTGAAGACTTGCGATTCCGTCCTTTTAACGAGTGAACAAGAAGGGGATGTAGTTCCAGAAAGTCCACTTTCAGATGCTGGTTGTGATGCTTGTATATCTGACCTTGGGGGTCCTGAGAAACTGAGCAAATGTCAGAGCAGTTCGGGGGATTCACCTGCTTTTGAGAAAGAAAGTGAACCAGAGTCACCGATGGATGTAGATAATTCCAAAAATAGCTGTCATGGGTCAGAGGCTGATGAAGAAACAAGTCCATTTCTTGATGAGCGAGAGGAGATTAATATGTCAAAATCCATAAACAAATCTTTTAGAATTCAATATGGGGATGCTGAACTGGAGTCAAGAAAATCACGTTTTTCTGCCAAGGGCTGTGAAAGCTTTGAGGAAATAGATAATTCTGTTAAAGAGGATGGTCTGCATACAAAGTCACCTGGGATCTCTCCTGCTCCATCATCAGAACTCAAAGGTGCAAAACAGAGTGTGAAGAGGGACTCCAAAATCACCTCTCACTTCATGAGGATACCTAAAGTTGAGGAGAAAAGGTAGTGTTCTGTCTGCCTCTTCTTCATCTGTTTTTTTCACGCTTTAGAATTTGGAGGCTGGATTGTGTAAAGCATTTTGTAAAATGTGTGTTAAGACACAAAGACAGCTTTCATGCAAGCTTAAAGTAACTTATTTTTAATGGGACTACTTGTGTGTTGTTTTTTAACAGGATCTTTGTCCTGTGCTTATTTTTTCTTTTTTTCTGTTTTTTTTTGTTTTGTTTTGGTTTTGGTTTTGTTTGGTTTTTTTTTTTTTATATCATTGGAGATCTGCTAGAATTTGGAATTCAAGACACTGTAGGAAGTTATTTTCTTTTAATAAAGAAGTGATTTAAGACCATGGGGTTTTTTAATGCTTGAAAGTGAACGTTGGTACAGGAATGCTTAATGGAGTGTAGCTCTAGCATTTATTACTTCATTCAGAATACCTGAAGAAACTGATGTCTGCGTGGTGTTTTTTTTAAGTTTCATCTGTCAAAAATACTGAATCTAGTTTGTTAAAACATCAGTGCTATGTGAAATGAACAGCAATGGAAATGGAAGCCCTGAGCATGACCCAGACTTCACATGCTAGGTGTCGTGCAAAGACAAAAGGATAATCTCTGCTCTGAACAGCTCAGATTTCAATGGTAGCTGAGAAAGTGAATAAACAGTAAAGGAATAAGCAGAAACAAGAGGACTGTGTGTGTTGATGTAATAAGCAAATTATCTCAGTAGACCTAAAATAGGGCAAAAAAGTAGTTTTGCACATCTACTGCGAGGTGCTTTCTGGATGCAAGGAGCAGCACAAGCCACACTTCAAGGAAATGAATAGGGTGACAGAGGGTGGCTAACTCATGGTAGTTTACATGTGAGAAATCTTAAGAGATGAGTAGGCTGAGAGTGGAGTTGGAAAACAAAAAAAGGTAGTTCCTAGGAAAAAATGGATGGATAAATAATTTGCTAACAAAAGTATGGGAAAGTGGGTCATAAAGTTAAAAATGATGGGTTTGGTCTTTTCACTAATGTAAATGAATTGCTGTTGTAGCAAAGCAGCAAAGGTTGAGGCTTGTGTTTGTCAGTGCGAGAGTACTGTGTGTTACAATAAATCCATGTTTGAGGAGGGAAACTCATGCAAAAGTTTTGCTGTATAACTAGATGGGAATCCTAGAAGTGCTTTAGAAAATAATCAGTAAGGTAGAGTATGGGGCTGTAGAGAGATTACTGTTTTCCTTTTTGGGGCCTAAACAAGATGATGTGAAGGTTATAAACCACAGTGCCAGACAAAATAGTGGTACTGCCTATAGTGCTTAAGAGGGCAATTAGAAAATGTTAAGGCTTTTCTCCTGGTTTTTGTTAGACCAGGTCTACAGCAGGTAATAGTGTCTCAACTTGTTGAGAAAGAAGTTTTAGAGTATCAAACATATTTCAGTCATCAGTAGGGCTTTGCCAGAATTGTCCTTTGGCCCTCAGATGAGCACTTGGGCCTGTACCCGGTGTCAGGCCATGTGTCACCATTCGCATGTGATTGGCCAGGTTGGAGGCATTGTCTGCACCTGAAGATACTGGCATGTGCTTAGACTTAGTGAACAGGTTGGACAACATCTTTATCTAAGGGTGGAGTAAATTTGCTAAAGGAAATTTAGAGGTCTAACCAGTACCTCAAAGTGTAGGCTTTTAACTTGTTTTGCATTTCACTCTGAGAACTTTGTCTTACATGAGAAACATTTGGTATATTGCATCAGACACACAGCAGGTTGAGATTTTTCTTCCCCATATCATCTCAGGTATACCAAATACCTTTGATCATTAAAGAGGATTAGATTAGCTCATCTGCTCTTGCATATATTTGAATTTTGCAAGTGTTTTTTGGTTTGCTTTTGAATTTCTACTTCCATTGTATGCCTGATGTGAAGAATAAAATCCTAGTGAGAAGGGGTGGTTAAGAAGTTGGAATTCTTTTTGTTGGTTGTTTTGTTTTGGGTTTTTTTTTTATAGTTTGAAGAAGGAATATGTGCATCCGTGTATGTGCGCGTTTTCTAACAGTTGTAAAGGGGCTGTAGAGGGTATCCTGACAAATGCAGACCAATGAGTCTGTCTCCTGTCCCCAAGTAAAGCTTTGGCCTGGGGTCACAGCAAAGGCTAGCAAATAAACTGTTACAACCCTGGAGTGGAAGTTTTTGTGTTTGCTTACCAGTTTTTTTTCAGTGGAAGTAAAATCTTTCAATGTATTTTATTTGACAGCAGGAAAGAAAAGTGTGAATTCGAGCCCCAGAGGCCAGGAAGGAAGATTCCTAAATATGTGCCACCTCCTCTTCCAACTAATAAGAAATGGTTTGGGACACCAATTGAAGACATGAGAAGAATGCCTACGTGTGGGGCTCGTCTGCCACATCTGCGACCCTCAGCCAATCATACAGTAACCGTCAGAGTACGATCATTCAGTGTATTATCTGAAATCAAATTTCTTACTGAATTGTTCAGTAATTTGAAATGCCAAATGTTAGTCTGGTAGTATTAGCAGGTTGTGAAAATCAATCTATGCTATTCCTTGCAGGCAGACTGGGGCAGCTGATTTTCCTAAAAATTGACTTTTCTGATGCCCAGGATTTAGGATATTAAGATCCAGAAGAAATGTAATTATGGTTTCACTGCCTCTGGCTTGTTAGGGACAAGTATTTTCCTTTTGCATAGGAGTGTGTTTACTTCCTTGTCTGAGTTTTAAACTGTGGGAATTTAAATACATCTTCAACATTGTCATGTTACATTTTCATTTCAATATTCTGTTTTGGGTTCATGATAAACAGAAGTTTCAAGATATGCGAGATAAGAAAAAGACAAAGAATGAAGAGGATTTTCCATTAATTTTACCACCACATTTTAGATCAGATCTGATATATTTGACTTTAATCTTTTGGAGTAGTATGCAGTCAAATTACTGTTGAAATAAAACGTGACCAGAAACCGGTAGGGTCATAGATAAATCCCAAACAAAAGAAAAGCACATTAAGTTTAAATGCAAGTTCTGAGAGAATCGGTGCTGCTGGAAGACCATATAGGAGATTAAGTCTTTAAGAGCATCACGTTATTTATTTTTAGATTTCTGATATTCTGGGGAGTACACTTGAAATACTGCCATATCTAGAAGGATTTCTCATCCTCTTCAGTGTTAGCTAAAGAATGTCATTTCTGCACATGACTATAGTTATACTTTAAACTATGTTTTGAAAATATTTGGATGAAACTATGTAGATACTTAAATTCATAGTTGAGGAAATCTAGCTGGTAATTGGACACAAAATAATTGCATATGTTACCTTTATTTTGGTATGTTTCAAGAGGTCAAATGATCAGATGGTGTTCTTTTCGGCAAGTGTAACACCAGAGTAACAGATGGACTTTATTTTTTTCTTTCTAACTGGTCAGTTTGTAGCTTTCCCCTCTTCAGAAAGGGTGACTGTAGAGGAGAGCTTTTTTAGCTGTTTTTTCTTACTTTTTATTTCTTTTGTTTAAAAACTTGAAAGAAGTGAGCTCCCTCCCCCTGCCCCTTGTTTGTTGCAGGTAGATCTTCTGAGGGAAGGAGAGGTTCCTAAACCTTTTCCAACTCACTACAAAGATCTGTGGGACAACAAACACGTTAAAATGCCTTGCTCAGAACAGAATTTGTACCCTGTAGAGGATGAGGTAAGATGAAGTATTTACAGTTGTGTAATCAAATGAGTTTGTTCACATATTGGTGAGTTTTCAGTTCACTGCATTTGCTCAGTTGGCAAGCTGTGTGTATAGAATTGGAAAATCAAGTAGATGAACGTACCTATTCTGAAAAGCTGGATTCTGTGTTGTGATGCTTCAGGCAGAGCAGAAGACTTTGTTTTTGTTGTTTTGGTTTTGTTGTTGGTTTGTTGGGTTTTTTCCTAGTTATTTTACCTAGCCATTGATTTGATGATGTACATATATATACTTGGAGTATAAACTTATATTCCATATGTATTTCTTTACTTCGCTATTTGTTATATATATATTTTGTGTATGAAACAATTTGGAATGCCAACAGATGTGAATGAATTTGTAACCATGTTTTGATTATAATACTTAGTTATCGCTGATAGTAAGGTGTATCTAGTGTTCTGCTAAAGCAGTGGTGGAGAGCTTAGAGTTGGCCTTGCATGGTTTGTTGATGTGGTATTTCTTGTCACTGCTTGAGACTTACTTAAACATACAAACCGAAATATTTACACTGTGATGAGTGAAATCAGCAAGTGTGTCCTGTAGTGAAGGCTATATAATGATTATTGATACGAGTCTGGAACAGAGAATTTTTATAGCCTTTAGGGAATACTCTCAGTCTTTTCATTTATCTGCTTTACAGATAGAGTATAAAATGAATTTAGTTGATGTTTTGGAGAGAAAGTGCTGATAAGATTTTTGTTGCTGCCAGTTGAGCAAGTCGAGTTGTCTCTGCCCTTGCGGTAGTCTAGTCAGAAATGTCATTTTTGCTTGCAGTGGTCAATAAGACTTTTGTGTTGAGAAAAAATACCACAGAATGTCTTAAATTTGGGTTGGTAGAAGAGTCAGCCACAGCTATATGCTTTTATAATCTGTGCCCTTATTATCTTAATACTATGTTTTTACAAAGTTCAGTTTATATTTTTGAGTTGTGGATTTTATAACTCATCATGTTTTATCTGCAAAATCCACTTTCTTCATGAAGAATATAGTGAACATTATTTGTCCTTGACAATGGACAAAGAAGAGCGCTGCATATGTGAAACAGCTCTTTATGAAATTTGTGACTGCTTCAGTTAAAAAGGAATTCAGGGAAGTAAGATGCAGTGGACTATAAGTTGTAGAAGTATTTTACAGTTGCTCATAAAATGTGGTTTGTTTTTAAAGAGCTTCACAAGTAAAGCAAATTTTATTTAAAAAACTCAGTCAGGGAAGATAATTATTAGTAAATATGACTTTCCGTTTTTAATAACTTCATCTGACCTTGTTTTGGGCTTTTATTTTAAAGAATGGCGATAGAACTGCTGGAAGTAGATGGGAACTAATCCAAACTGCCTTACTTAACAAGTTTACTTGCTCACATGATTTGAAGGTAAGCTGGTCAATTTGAAATCAAGTATATATACATATAAGTACACTCAGATTCTCTGTGTACTGTTAGTGATTCTGGCTCAGTCCTGTTTGATGAATCATTTACAAAAATAAATTAAAAAAATATCATGCTGTTCAAGGGATTCTCTAATGAATTAAGGGTCTTAATTAATGAGTCGTAAATGATACCACTGAATTTATTAGGTATTATTAAAACAACTTGTCTTTTATAAATCTACATACAACTGTCCAGCAGTATCTAATAGTTTGTGGTAGACATGGCATGTAGGACTTTTCTATGACCAGTTGGCAGGGCGATGCACAGGTGTGAGAATTTGAAACACTGACTGCTGACGTCACTAAAACTGCAACAATTCAAGCTGCTGACATAAATCTGTAAATTGTGGAGACTAGTGCTCTGTTGATAACTCCTATAGTTTGTATTGGCTTTTAATGAATTGTGATTTGGAGCAGCTTAGAATTGCTATTATGTTTTTTGTGAAGAATATAATTTAAATTATACCTGAAAAAAAGATGGAAAAGCTACAGATAGACTTTAAATGAATAAAGTTTTTAAAGGTGGTGGTTGTTCTAAAGGGTCTATTTAATTTTGTTGTTCAGATTCTTTAAGCTCTTAAGCTGGTAAAACATCTGCCATATTGCTGAGGGAAGCTTTTTTGGTATTTTTAAAGACTGCAAGCACAGGGTGAGGATTATTTACATTGTATGTTGTAGGCAGATCCAAGCATGCCTTGTCTTGTTTTGTGCTAGGAGGAAAAACCTATAGACTAAAGCTTAATCAATGCTAAACCTAAAATAAAAGGAGTCAGTATCATGGAGTTGCACCATATTAATCCACATCTGTGGATTTTGATAGCTCTGTGACAGGTTTTAGCCACTAGATGGTACTGTTCCTTCACAAAGGAAATTCCATAAAATCGTTTTTCTTCTGTTAATAAGTATGTCTAAGCTTTATTTTGTTATGGTCTTTCTTCAGGAGGCTATACTGAGGTACAACATTGCTTATTCCAAGAAATGGGACTTCACAGCTCTTAACGACTTCTGTGAGAAGGTAAACCAAGTTGACTTAAAATAGGAAGAAAAACAAATTATGTGACTGCTTTGTCTATATGTCTCAATGCTTTTGGCTTTATTTCCGTTTTCAAGAGTAAAGGTTTTGCAGTCGCCTATGTGGATGGTTATTTGGCTGGTAACTTCAGTAGAAATTATAATTAAGCTTTATAAACTGGATTAATTTTAAACCTTAACCAGATGATTTGAGTGCTTCAGTAACACCTAAAGTTACTGAAGGTAAGGTGAGAAATGCCTTTATGAAAACCAGATTTATTAAGAAATTGTATTAATACTTTTAGTGTAATGGTTTCTTTTTCTTGTTTTATAGAGTGTTGCTCTTTTTTGCCTTTTTTTTTAAGCAACTTCTGTGTTGCAGTGGTATGTGTATAGTCTGTGCTTTGCTGGTCTAGCAGTAAAATTTTGCTGTATGGTGAGATGATGAATTTCAACTGTAGGGCCTTTGAAAGGTTGGAGTAGTTTTCATGACTTCATGTTACCTTCCTGAAAGAAGAAAAACAAACAGTAGGTGATAAATGCAAGTTGGATTCAGCTGTCTCCAGACAGGAGAGGAATGATGGGGAAATCAACTATGTATTGGTTTCACTGAGCTTTCACTGAGGGTGAAAAGGAAATTTCTGTCACCTGGGAATGGCGATGTATCTGTGAGGTTCCCAGATGAAGGGAGGAGACCTGTTTCAAAATACAGATTCTTGAACCAAGGTGAAAAGTGTGGAGACATATGTGTATATATATATATATATATATATA